ATAGTCCTGACTTTAATCCCATTGAGAACATGTGGTATATCGTGAAAAATAATGTCGAAAAAAGAATGCCAAAGAATGTTGACGAATTAAAGAGATCTATGGTTGAGGAGTGGGAGAAAATTCCACAGGATACGGTCAAAAATATTATTATGTCTATGAAACGGAGATGTGAATTGGTATTAGAAAAAAACGGAAATAGAATTTCTTATTAATTTTCATTTATTTAATAAAGTATTCGATAGGCTTTTAAATGAATCTAATTTATTTGTTTATCTTGCATAATTGTTAAGATATGCAATTTTTTGTGCGCGCCCTTTTTTTTGAAACACACTGTACTTACAGGGCAAGTTTCCTTACTTCCCTTCCAGTAATGTTTTCTCAGCAGTCCTTTGTTATCTACCTGAGCTGACACATCTCAATGATATTTATAATATCTCAAGTATCTGCCATGATACTTTATACACTTATTATTATATTTATGGCTCAGTTTCTTAACTGACCACACCTAGCTAGGGTTTCCACTTCTTAGGCATTGGCCTAATTAAAAGAAAATACACACACAACTATACTTATCAAAGGTATACATGCAGCCCAAAGTATTTTGACACTGTCATAAAGGGGTGTTACACTTATGTTTTTAATGGTGAGTGTCATAATTAATTTCTACTTTCTACCACCAAAATTGAACATTAGTGCTGATCCATTTTTTTTAACATAGTACGATGCAAAAAGTAGATTAAATTCACCATATAGTAAAATATATCATTTTTTTTAGTAATAATTTTTTTTTTAGAGATGATATCCTTAACAATACTTTGTATTTATAAAAACCAATTTTCCTTGAAAAAAAAATTTTTTTTATTTTTTCTATATGCTCTTTACATTGTCTACCAAATCGTCCCAGGTAAATTTCATAATATAAAAAAGTCCACCAAATCGTCCCACTATATACAGTAGGACAAAAATACTATAGAAATAGTCAAATAACTGATCTATAAACATAAATATATATATACACAGTGAATCTCGATTTAACGGATAGTTTGGGCAATTAGGGAAAATTTTCCAAAAATCCGTTAAAACCGAGATTTTTAATTAGTATCCGCTAAATCGAGATTCACTGTGTATATATACATACACTATACATGATATGGTAATTAGCCAATTACCGTAAATACGTAATTCGTAATTAACTTAATTAATTACCACTTTCACTCTTTAAAAACGTAATTACGTAATTAATTACGGGAGACAAATTAATTACTATTGTGAAAATTTTCTATGCAAACCGTTGTTAACACTATACATGGGATGGTAATTCCTAATTACCGTAAGTACATAACACGTAATTATCGTAATTAATTACCATTTTCCTCTTTAAAAAACATAATTACGAAATTAATTACCGTATTGCAGGCGACGAAATTAATTACGGTGACGAAACTAATTACGGGGGATGAAATTAATTACAGGTGACGAAATTAATTATGAATTGAATAACAACGAATTAATTATTGGAAATATCATAATACAAGTCACTCCCGTTATAACAACACCCTCGTACAAGCAAAAAATGTCAGTATGACGAGAATGTCATTATAATAATAACGGGAGTTCATATGAGAATCATTATCATGTGATTTTGTAATTTTATTTTTATTATATAATTTCCTTATGTTTTTTCAGAAATGTGAATGATTTTGATTGGTTCTCCCATTAACTGACATGTCATTATAACAGAATAAATTCTATAATTCTAAAAAAAGTTGACAAATTATGTCATTATACTAGTATAACGAGATAAATAATAGGCATCATTTAATTTCGTCACCCGTAATTAATTTCGTAATTAATTTCGTAATTATGTATTACGTATTACGTATTACGTTTTTGGCAAAATAATTACCATCCCATGTATATTTATAACTCATTCAGCTGGTAAAAATATAATTGATTGAGTTATTCTATTGATACTTCTTCCTGGACTTGGTAATCCATAAACTTTTGCATAATTTTCCAGAAAATTCTTTACTATTTCTGCAACATTTTATCAATCATCATTTTTGTTTTCCATTGAGGCATTCTTTTAATATTACCATGAACTCTTGCTAGAAGACCATTGTTTATCAGGTGATTTCTGATATTTTCAAAGTAAGTTCTGCTAATTCCTAGCATATTGAGATGGGTTTCTTGACAAAGAAGTGTATTATGATCTCAATGATAGAAAGTTCTTTTATTAGACCTAGTTTTCTTTTAAGACATCTGCTAGTGCTTGTTGATCCACCATCCATTGCTTTAAGTTGAGCCATTAAAAATATGTCTTGTTCTGTTTTGGAAAGTGCTTGAAAGGATTCTCTTAATTCTGCAAATTGTTCTTGAAGAACAACCACAATCACAACCTTTTTCTAAAAAGTTGAGTGCCTTTTCATATCCATTAGAGCCATTATTACTTTTCATATATGCTTATCCCTATATATACAATTTTATGTTCACTTTGTAGGTTTTCCTTTATTTAAAATTGAAGAGATTCTAAAATTGGTCCTATGGTGATGAGCAAAGTGGGCAGAAAAGAATTAAATTTGAGTGGATCTGCAAATAAAGATCAGAAATATTTTCATGTACTGTACAATTAAGCACTTTTCAGCATCATGAAACTTTATTCCACAAGTGAAAGCATCTGAACATGTTGAAAAGCTTTTTTACAAGGTGGACAAAACTTTTCTCTCAGACCAGATTTGGCTGCTACCATACAGTGGGCATCAGGAAAATGTGTTTTTTTTGATACATGTATTGTATGTATATTATATGTGTATTATTTTACATTACAGGTGATTCGCATATAATATACATATAATACACATGTCCATAAATTACACACGAATTATACATATATTATATGCAGATCACCTGTAATGTAAAGTAATAATAGATCGGCGGGAAATGTCTTGTGACTGCTAATCACAGAGTAAATTTTTTACAGGGATGGGACACCAGAAGTAAGATTATGCAACACTTTAGAAAGTTCATCACACCTTTGTTCATCAGTAACTCCAAGAAATTCTGCAACTGATTTATGATCATAAAGTTTTGTTTGTTTGATAATTTTCTTTACATAGCAATTTTCAATGAAGGTAAGAATATAGATGTTGTGTAAATACCTAATTCGTGATCTGCTGATCATTGATAGAAAATCAATAATAAAAATCGATCTACATATATATAAAATTTTGTACTTTCACTATGCAAAGTCACATGAAATCATGCAAGATTTGTGGGTAGGAACTTGGTTTTTTCAAAATGTGAAAATTTTCTCTTATATTAAAATAAATAGTTTACTCTTGGACAGCTGTGGATTCCACATAAAATACACATATGAATTTATGAAAAAATTAATAGAATTACAACATCACAAAAAAAAAAATGTGGCTAGTTTTAATGGTAATTTTCAACTATTTTTATTGAATAAATAATAAATTTTATTATTTTTAAATTCAAAAAAAAACCTATTACAAATTATTCATTTTTATTAATTCAATTCTGCATCCTGCAGAACAACAAGTGTATATCATTCATTATCTGTATGAAAAACCCTTGAAAATGGTAATTATTTTTTAGAAAATTTTGTTCTGCCTCCATCCTTTTTCAAATTGTCTATAGAAATTATTTTTAACAAAATTATTTCTTTGAATAAGTTTTTTTTATATTGGGCTAATAAGGAAAAATAAATATATCCAATGGCTGACAGAAGGTCAATATGTTAGATCTTAAAGAATTTTCTCCAATGCAAATTCAAAAGCAAAAGCAACTAAACCTCATCCACAAACTTCTATTCATGTAACCTTTTACAATATAAGTATATACTTTTACTATTTAAGAAAATTTGTTTTCCAATGCAAATTAGCAAATACAATAATAATGTAAATCAAAAGTCTATAATGGTCATTATTAAAAAATAATTTATTATTATTATATTTCTAAACATCTGGAAATGGGTTTTTTAATTTAGTACCAATATCAAATGAATTTTAATTTGAAATATATATATAATTTTATTTTTTTAAAAAATAATGGACAATTTTGGATTCTGTGATCTCTTAAATTTTAATAAGTTTAATATCCCGGATCTGCATTAAATTTCTATCGTTGATCGGCAGACCATCACTTAAAGTTTCAATATATGGAAATGAATTAGGTTTTATATGATTTGTTTTCTCTCTATTTCTAGTGATGAAGACTTTAATTTTTGAAATGATGTAATTAAAGAATCTATGTTGTTTTTAAAGCTCCTCACAAGCTGGCTCATGTGGAGCCTTAGTTGTTTTTCCATGACTAGTATACAATGAAGCTATTGATGTTGAGTGATTTGATATTGCTTGTTTTAAATCATCTGGAAACATTTCACTTTGCTTGTTTGAATCAATAGCTAAATTTTGTTTGATTTTGTGCCCCGATAGCCACAGATTTGTTTAATCAAAATAATGTTTATTGATCTTTTATTAAAATTTAATGTTTGTCAGTGGTAAATTTTATATACTTGTATAATAGCAGATTCTCAAATTTAATTTAACCTTTCTTTATCTTCTACTAATCACTAATCACTATCTTGATGTTGTTTTCAGAATAGAATGGATCTCTTCACAAATTGGAATATTAATTTATGCCATTGTTTGTTAACTAGAACACATATAATCTTGTATACATTTTGATATTTCACTTATTAATAATAGCCCAGATGTCAAAAATTTGAAATTGTTGTCTTTTTTTTTTTTTAAAGAAAATTGGAATTTTTTTAAAAAATTCAGCGGCCTTTCCAAAAAAGAATAATAATGAAGCAAAAAAATTCATCATCATTTTTAAGTAATGATCATCAAAATTTGATGAATAATTAAAATTCGTTGAAATAATTGAAACAAGGTTTGACTGTATTAGTATTAATATAATAATTACTGGAATCACCCAATTTTAATATACATCAAAGCAAAACACATATATATTAATATATGGCATCAGCAGTAAGTTTACTGGATAGTGGTTCAACCGAAATAATTAATCCAGATATTTATTTTCAAATACATTTTCCTCCAAAAAACTTAAAAGAGAATGAAAATAAAATCCAAGAATTTGTTGATAAACATCAAAAAAAAGGCAGGAGAGTTGTATTAGTTACAGTAAGTTTTTGCATGCTTACAATTGATTGGTTAATTAATATCTTTGCCACCAATACAACCAGTATTTAATTAATATAATGTAGAGTGGAGGAACAACAGTACCACTTGAAAATAATACAGTGAGATTTTTAGATAATTTTAGTGCTGGAAGTCGTGGTGCAATTTCTGCTGAATATCCTTTATTTTCTTTACTCTTTTTTTTTTTCCTAATTACCTAATTAATCAAGTTATAATATCATTAACAATTAACCTATTAAATAATTAAAAAAATATTATGTAAACACATATTTTCTTGAAGAAGATTATGCAGTCATTTTCATGCACAGGCAATTTAGTTTACAGCCTTATAGTAGACATTATACTCATGCAAGTAGTAATTTTTTGGATTTGTTGGAATTAAAAGATGATGGAAGTGTTGTAGGTGAGGAAGAAATTTTGAAAAAAAATTTGTGTGATTTTTTTTTTTTTGGTTATTTATAAGTCAATCATAGCAGTAATAATATGTATGAAAAATTATTATTATCAATAGTTAATGATCAAGATCAGCAAAAAATGAAAATAATCTTGGAAAAATATCAAAAAGTAAATATCTAAAATTTAAAAAGTTAAATTTTTATTTTTCAAATCAAACAATTAACCTTATATATAAAATAAAGTTTAAGCAGGAGGAAACACTTCTATTCATAGATTTTGTAACTGTGACGGATTATTTGTTTCTTTTAAGAAGTGCTACTCAAATTATGAATAAATTAAAAGAGAATGCTATGTACTATCTTGCTGCTGCTGTTAGTGATTTCTTTATTCCAGTTCAAAAAGTGGTAGGCTTGCATATATTGTCATTACATTATTATTATATGTTAATATTGACATTATTATATATACATCTTAATTTATTTATTTATATCTTCATTTGATTGTTTAGTCTCAACATAAAATACAATCAGGGGAAGGTGCTTTAACATTAAAGATGGATCAAGTCCCAAAATTTCTAAAACCAATGGTAACAAATTGGGCACCTGAAGGCTTTATAGTTTCTTTTAAGGTAATGTTTTCAATGTTTGAATTTATTTTCCAAAATTTTCTCATTTCAAATTATTAATATGTATATATATATATATATATTTATTCTTTTAAAAAAGTTAGAGACTGATCCATCACTTTTAGTTGAAAAAGCAAGAAAAGCTTTAACAAGATATGGACATCAAATTGTTATTGCCAACCTTCTAATGACACGTAAAACTGAAGTAATTTTTGTTACAAATGATTCAGAATTAGAAATAAAATTAGATGAAAAGGAAATATCAAATGAAAATGAAATTGAATCCAAGATCATTCCAGAATTAGTAAAACAACATGAGAAATGGATAAATAAAAGTTAATTAATAATAGAATTATTAACACTTGATATTTATTTATTTGAGAGTAATAAATGTTCTTAGGGGGATAAAGGCATAATTATTGGAATTCATGATTTTTATTGAATTATTCTTATTTCTTGAATAAGCAATGATGTTTTATTTTTAAATCAATACAGTCTAACTTTGAATATGTATTAATAAAATTAGCATTCAATAAATTATTTTTTTTGAAGGAAAATTATCACTAAGATTTTCCTAAAGCATTCATCATTGCAATTGAATTATTTTCAGAATTAACAAATATTTTTAGAGTTTTTACATATGAATATTTCAAATTTGGTGAATCTATTCAACCAACATCAACATACCATCAGCAACTAAGAAGTTGCAGAATTTAATATAAGAGTCTGTAACTTGTTACAGACATTAAATCTAGTAATAGATATAAATTATATCAGTGAGTGTATAATAATAAAATCAAATCAGCAATTTAGAATTGATATTGCTTCGCCTGATTACCAGTTGGGTATTCATCATTTTTCTTCTCTTTTGTCTGAATATTCATCAATTGAACTTTTGATTTACATCTATTTTTTTGATTTGTTACAGTGGATGAACGGGAACATAAGAGAATTTTATTCAAAATCTGTTGTGGCAAGATTACTAAATACCAATCTTGCCACAACGGATTTTTATATATTTTTATATGTGAAGCGAAATTTTTAATGACCTTGCAAACTTCATAGGTCAGTAACAAAAATTCCTGTTATGTAATTTGACCCAGACCAAAATTAACAAAATTTTACAATCAATTTATTTAACTGATCAATTGATTATAATAATTTACAATTTATAATATTTTAATATTTTTTTTTTTACATAAAAGATTGTTGGTTTTGTTTTTTTGAATGAGCATGTAAGAAAAAATTTTGTTACAGATTAGATTGTTACATTTTGTAAAATTTTCTCTATGAAAATAAATAATAAAAAATCATGCGGATGATCAACAAAAATCGAGGTTGTATAAATTTAAAGCATAAAATTTTGGACAACATTTCCTACCCCTTGAAAAAGTTTCCACTTCACTATTGAAAGAGCAAAATGGCGAGTTGGGAATATCCATCTCACAAGGAGTTTCCGAAAGTACCCAGCCTTGAAGAAGTAGATTCTGGAGATGTACCAGGTAATTTAAGTTTATTTACTGCAGTTATTATCAATGGATGGATTTGAATTTTATAAATATGTACACACAATAGGTATCTTGGATGCTCGTGAACAAAAAATTCGTGAAGACTGGGTAAAAGCAATGGAGTTTAGAATGATTCGAAACAAATTGAATCAATGTTACAAAACAGAGGGTGTTAACCATCATCAAAATTGCAAAGAATTGTCTGATATGTATTTAAATCTTCTCAATGATAGTAAAGTTAGAGGATGGAGAGTTCTTGATGATAATAACAAAAAAAGTTCTAATTGATTTTAAAGAGGTTTGTGTTTAAAATTTATTTTTGAAATTTAGGTTTAAATAATATATATATTTATTTTGTTTTTTTTTTAAATTTTTTTTTTAAGAGAAGTTATTGCACTCCAAACAATTGTTTTTTTGACCTACTTGTGTATATTTTCAATGCAAGGCTGCTATATTAATAAAGTTATGGATTAATTATTATAATTTGTAAGGGTGGAATCATTTTATATTTTATTTTATAAAATTTTTTCATTATATTATTATATATGAAGTGATTAAAAAAACATTAAAAAAATTTTCTCAAATATATATTTTACATCAGTTCAGTATATTCTAAGAATCAATAAATAAAATAACCAATCATGAGAATAAACCATTTTTATAATATATAATGAGAAAAAACTACTTTTTACATTGACACCAAATCAAGATACATACTAGATATTGATTTATTGATTTTTTCTAAATTACTATTAAACCATTCCCTTTGTCAGATTTTTTTACGATGCCTCCTAAATATCAAGACAATCATTTAAAAATTGCAAGAAACTTTAAAACACAAAAAAAAATTAAAAACAATCAAGATTTTAATGTTTTTAATAACAGTTCAGATGAAACAGTTTATGACTGAAACAATAATTGGTATAATTGGTTCAGGTGATGAATTTGAATTATTATCTGAGAGTGATTCTAATGAAGAGATTGTGATTACTCTTAAGATTTAGAAAAAACTGTTACAGAAGCTCTTGAATCAATATCTTTAGAACATAAGAATGAATTATTGTCTGTAATTCGAATATTAATTAGATCCTTGGACCAGTCTAAAAGGCCACAATTCCAAGGATTAAAAGCAAAAAATAAAGATCAATTATTAACAATTTTGCAACAAGTTCAGGACATTCACAATGGCAATGGAACAGGAATGATATAAGAGGAAGTGTAGTACTTATCTAGGAAAACTAAAGCAACTCTAAGATAAGTAAAATTATCATTATTATTATTTGGTATTAAATTGTTCAACCATTAATTTATTGCAGTCAGGGAATATGCTAAATTTGGAAATCGATTCTGGAAAAATTCGAACCCCCCTCGTCGATCAATTCATATGTGTTGCAAATGAGTTTACGTGATGCTTCCATAATATGTAAACAAAAAATTTTTTTTAATAAAATTCATAAATAAAAGTTGAAACAAATTCTTCTGAATATAAACCCTGAGAATCCCTGAGAATCCCTGCAAAATTCACAAGATATAAGAAGATATAATTCAAAGAAGTTTTCATTTTTTTTGTTCTTTTAAGCATAATTTGCAAATTTACATGCACTTTTTATATATTTTTTATATGTACTTCAATATTATTTAAGATGGAAGAATCAAGACCAGCTGCTAGTGAATTACCTTGTTTATTTGAGGCCCTCGCCACAAAACATCCAGAAAGTTTGTCATTATGTGAGACAAAAGAAAATCAAAAGTGGAGATTCGCATCTGGAAATGCAGCAGTTGAAAGAATAAATATTATGGCTAAGTATTTTCCTGAATTGTCTTTATTACTTGATTCCTTAGACAATTATTCATTTTGTGAAAAACATTATAATCAGGTTGTTGCCAAAGAATCTTTACTTAAGAATTTAAAAAAAAAAGATATTTTAATTTCTTTAGAAGAAAATGAAGAAAATAATCAAAGAAAAAAATTAAAACACAATGAAACTCAAATTGCTTTATCAGATCCAGAAACACAGCTTATGAGAGAGTTGTCAGATACACAAAAAAAATTAGAAGAATCAGAAAGACAAAGGATATATTATGTTGACATGATCAAGAAATATGAACAAATAATTGAAGAACTAAAAGACAAAAACACAAGATTATTATCTGAAAATAAAAAACTAAAAGAGGAATTAAATACAACACTTGATGACCAACAATCAAGAATTGATTCAATTACAAAAATTGCTCAAAAAGAACGTAAAAATCTTTATGTTGATATTATTAATTTAATGAATGATGAGGGACGATTTAGTTTGGATAGCCTTTTAGAATACTCTACTTCTGAATGGCTTTCTAAACGAAACCCAGTTATTGTTAAATTTATAGAGACACTTATATTCAATGAAAATCAAAACCAACATGAAGATAAAAAACTTTTTAAATGTGCAATGGTGGTTAATGGAATCTATGGAGCACGTCATGCAAAATATGTCTCAGAGATTAATCTTGTGGCGTCAGCAATAAAATATTCTTTAGCAAGATCAAAAACAGTTATAAATATTGATAACCATCTTACATCTGGTGGAAGTTATTTTTACTTTCAAAAATGGCTAGAAGAATTATCAGACATAGAAGAGGCTTTGCCAAATGGGTTGTTATTTATTGCTTTTGATAATGAGCAGAAAGGACAAAAGAATTATCTTGATCGTGGATTTAATAAAGTTATTTTCCATATCGTTACTAGTTTTGTTGCATTCAATATGGAACCTTGCAATGAAACACAACATATAAATAATCCTTGGGTGTATAATTCTCTTAATGAACAACAATACAAAGAACTTTTTGAACTTTCACCTGAAATGCAAGAAGAAATTGATAAAGAATTATATACTTATCTTTCAGAGATCCTTGGCCTATTATGCAAAGAAAAATCTAATTCAACCAATGTTATTGATGTACTTGTAGAAAACAATGAATCAAACAATAGATTTAGTAAATATTGTCCTAATTGTAATGAACAAAACATTCAAAATAGAAAACAAAATTGTCCTAGTTGTAATGCTAAATTACCTACACTGGGGGAATTACAAAAGCAAAATATAATTGAAGAAGTTAGCACACCAGATAATTATGAAAAGCCTCTCATCTTTAAATCTCATAATTTTGAAAATGAATTGAGAGCTTCTTCTACTTCCAGAATCAGTATTACACAACAACCAGTTGCTGATTCAGGTGTTAAAGTTCCTGATATTTACATTCCTGATCCTTTAAATATTAATCCTAATTCAATAGATAGTGTTGAAAAAATTCTTCTTCACATTGAAAAAATTTCTGGGATTAAAGAAGGAATTTGTAAATGGGTAGCTGTGGCATGTGATGGCGTTCCATATCATCATGCTACCAAAATAAAAGAGAAATTTCCTTGGTTGATACTTGTACCTGGTCAGTTACATGAAGAAATGAACATGCTTCGTGCATATGTTGAACTGAATTGGTAATTTTTAATTTCTTTTCTTTTTAATTAAAAAAAATTTTTATTTACAATAAATTTTTTTAATTTACAATAAATTTTTTTAATTATTAAATTAGGGAAATAGATATCAAACAGTTTGCTAAATTACAAGGTTATAATAAATCAGAAAAACAACTTGGATATTTTAAAAAATGTCTTGATCACCATAAATCCTGGGATTCTATTTGCAGAATTTATCGTCAAGCAATGTCATCAGAGCTTATGTGGCCATATATAAAGACTCATGCTAATCCAACAGTAGAAGGTTATCTTGCTTGGGCTAAAGAACAAAAGGATCAAATTTATCAAATTAAATATGAACAAGTAAAAAAAAAAAGATTTTTTTTTATTTTATTGCAATTATATATTATTGTATCATTTATTAACATTTTTATACCAATTGTTTGAATAGATATTTATATATTTACAAGCAATTATTAACTTTAGAGTAGGTGTAAGGACTAACAGACCTTTGCTTAAAAGTGCAGCAAGAAGAGCCTTTTCACCTATTTGGTCTGCACGAAGGCATCCAATATATCAATTAATTGAAATCTCAGATGAAGTGCAGTTAAAAAAACTTCATCCAACAATACGTGATATGATTGAACAAAATTCTGTAGTATCTTGTTCAGGATTATATAACCAACACCAAGGGATGGATGCTATTTTAGAAGAAGTGAATAAAGCCCTGAAAACTTTAATACCTCCAGTTCCTCAAGAACGTCATTGGATAATTGCAGCACGTAATTGCAAAAAATTCTTTCAAGTAATAACATAATTTTAACTTTTATATAATATGAAATTTTAAAATTTTAAAATTGACTTTTTGATTTACTTTGTGATATTATTATATATATATTTAGTTGTGAAACAAATTTTTTGAAACAATTGGATGTAATGATATACATACATCTGGACCAAGAACTTGCCCTGAACCAATTGCAGAATGTCAAAGGTTTCGAGCTTATTTAAGAAATCTTAATTTTATTAATCCAATGGAAACAAGGGCTATTCATAAAAGTTTAGGTGAAGAATATGAGTTAAGTGATCAATTAAATAATTTTAGTTATATAGCAAAAAAAAAACGACAAGAATATATTATGGAAGTATTTTATAAGAAAAATAAAGCTCCTTTATTTAGGCCAATTCCAATAACTAAAGAAGAATATATTGCACAAAATAAAGAAGAAAATCTGTCAAAAAAAGAAATAATATTCAAGATAGAAACTCTCCTTGAACAAATGGATGAAAATATTCGAAAAAATTATCATGCAATAAAGTCAAAAAATCGAAGTGAATTGCTAATTATATTACAAGAGGTAACTAATTTGTTTAATATAGATAATGAACTTGATTACCATGATGATTTAGGATATCCAGGAATTACACAGCAAGAATTTTAGCTTTATTATAAATAAAGTAAGTCCAGGTAAGTACAGTTATACTTGCCGCCCAAAGTCCCAAATCCCAAATCCCAAATAGGTTAAAACTATTTGGGACTTTTACTCTCAAAAATCCAAATTGTCAAAAATGTCCCAAATCCCAAAGCTGTTCCAAATCCCAAAGCTGTTCCAAATCCCAAAGCCGTCCCAAATCCCAAAGCCGTTCCAAATCCCAAATGTCCAAATGATCCCAAATAATCCCAAATCCCAAAATGTTCAAATCCCAAATCCCAAATAAAAGTCATGTGTTCTAAATTTGATCAGTTGTGTAATAATAAAAAAAAATTTTTTTTCTTTTGCTGTAATAATAAAGGAAAATTTTTAATGTTTGTAGGTGAGCTTTCTTTTACATTTTATTTCTCTTGTGTTGAATTACATTTATAATTAATAATAATAATTCATTTATTTATTGCATTAGTGATAAATTTATATTTAAATTGAAGTTTGGTTTTTTTTTTGTTGAATTACACCTAATGTAATTTTATCATGAATATTTATTACTAAGAATTATGTCAAATTCATCAAATTCCGAACTAGCAAGGTATTTGTTATATATATTATCACTAATTTGATTCATTGGAATATATTATATTTATTAATTTATTTGTTCAAATTTGGTAACAATAGTGTTGCAGAAAACAATCAAGGAAGTCATATGTCTAATAATGACAATGAATTTTATCAAATTTCGGACAGTCACAATAATACAATTATTAATATTAATGGTCGTCCAAAAGATAAAGTTTGGCAATACTTTACTTCTATTGATGATAATCATAGAACACACAAAGGTGCTGTTTGTACATTCTGCTCAACTTCATGGAAACGAGGAAAACCACAAGCTTTAAAAACACATTTAGCACTTCATTGCAAAGCTAGAATACCAAGAGAAATACGTATTGAATATTTACATATGATTAGTGAGGAGGAGATTGAGGATACTGAAACTACATCTACTCCAATATCAACAACTACAACACATCCAAATAAAAAAATCAAATCTAAGAATAATCAAAAAAAAATTAACACTTATTTTGACTCGGATGGAATTGATGATGCTAAAATAAAACGTGTAAATCAAGCTTTGATTCGGTGGTTTGTTTGTTCTGGGATACCATTTGTAGCAGCAGATTCACCATTTTTTATTGACTTTACCAAATCTCTTTGTTATGGTTACAATCCACCACATAGAACAACTTTATCTGAGTCATTATTGAATTCAGAAATTGCAAGGATTACATTAAAAATAGATAATATTTTAAAAAATGCTACAAATCTTACCTTATGTATGTGTATTTATTAATTTATTTGTCAATGTAATTTTTTTAAAAATTTTTATTTTTTTTGTAAACTTTTAATAATTCAATATTTACATATAAAGGTGTTGATGGTTGGTCTTCACCACTTAAACAAAGTATATATTCTTTTGTTATCTTGTTACCAGATAGAAAGCAATACATCTATTCAATTGAAGATAGTCATACAAGCAATTTTAATGCTGAAAAAATTATTCATATATTGGAACAAGTGGGTCCTGAAAAATTTACAGCTATAGTAACAGATGCTGAGGCTGCTATGATGGCTGCCAAACGTATTGTCACCTCTACATTCCCAAATATTTTATCAATAAGATGTATTGCACATCATATTCAATTAATTGCCAGTGATATTGTAAAGGTAGATTGGGCAAAAAATACATTGCAAAACATACAAAAAATAATTACCTTTTTTCGAAACAATTATCGAGCAGGTTCAGCATTACGTGATGATATAATTGAATCATTAATAACTGGTGGTTATTTGAAGACAACTGTAAAGACGCGCTGGTCAACAGCATGGGATGCATGTGAGTCTATGATACATTTAGAAAGTAGCATAAAATCTGTAAGTATTGTTAATGTAAAGTCAAATACACTTTTTTAAAAAAATTAAAAAATATTTTCTTTAAGGTTTTAGAAGCTGAGCCAGAAATTTTTAGAAATGCAGTCAATGTTCAAAGTTTGATACATAATCGTCAATTTTGGATGGATGTTGATCAATTACGTGCAGTGTTAAGTCCAATTAAAAAAGCAGTAAAAGATGTTGAATTTACATCTACTACAATGGCAGATGTCTTTATGGAATTGGTAAAACTTGCAATATCAATTAAAGAAATTCCTACATTAATTAATAATAATCCATTTAAGCAAGAATGCCATGGAATTTTTAACAAACGCTGGAAACAATTTGACACTGATATATATATATTGGCTTTTTTCCTACACCCAAAACATCGTGGTAAGTTAAAATAATTTTCATTTAATACAGTAATAAGTTTTAATAATGTAAACTAAGATTTATTTTCTATAAATATGAATAGCTGATTTTTTTAAGTTTGAAATTTATAAAAATACAATTAAAACTGCATTAACCCTTTGGAAACAATTTGGTGGTGGTGCAGCTAGTGCTGATATCTTACGTACACAAATGTCATTGTACAAAAATAGAGAACCACCTTTTCAAGAAAGGTTTGTTGAATCAGTTGATAATGTTCGGAATTGGTGGAATTCTTGTGAATTAAGAAGAAATGAAGATTTCATTCGTGTTTTAGCTTTAAAATTAGCTGCCATTACTCCACATAATGGGGCCTGTGAATGTATTTTTTCTATTTTAAGTTGGTACACAGGGAAACGTAGAACCAAGTAAGTATACATTTATAATTTAATTATGTAATTATTCTTGATTTTTTCTTTATATATATACTTATCTATTATATCTTATATTAGAATCAATGTAGCACGTTTAGAAAGCATGGCAAAAATACACTCTTTTTTAATTACAAATGCACGAAGTGAATTGAAATTTGTTAAAACAGAAGTTTTACAAGAACAATTATCAAATACATTTGATGAAATAGCAAATGCTATAATTAATGATGATGAAATGTTTCAAAATGATGATAATGGAGATAATTTGGTTGACGATCCTGATGATAGTGATGAATGTTTGGACTTAAATCATGAATTATTAACAAATAATGTTGATAATGATTTAACTGATGAATTTGTTGAACATGGTGATGTTAATTTTGATATTGATGAAATATTAAATAGAGTAGAAAGTTAGATTGTTTGGGCTAATTTTTTTTTGGACCTTTGTATTTTTATGGTTTTTATAACAAATTTACAATAAATTTTTGCTAACAATGTGTTTTATGAGACAATAAAAGAATATATCTGTTGCTTTGATCTGTATATAGTACTATTGTCCATTTTGGGATTTGGGACAGTTTTGGGATTTGTACCACTTTTGACATTGGGATTTGGGCGTGGGATTTGGGATTTGGGTTTGGGACTTGGCCTTTTGAGTTTGGGCAGCAAGTATAACTCTTTCATTATTTCTAAGAACTTTTTTCTTTTATTCTTGAGACGAACATAAAAGAATAAGTATATCCACTATTATCACATAGAGCAAGGATTTTATAACCTTCAGGCATAGGTTTGTTTTTAATTCTATAAGTATGAGGGCTTCTTTCTGAAAATCTAACCATCATTTCATCGACAGATAAATTCGAAGAAGGAGTATAGAGTTCTTTACATTTATTTAGTATATGTGATGCATGGGGATCTACTTTATAATAATACCATAAATCTTGCTGTATGACTTCTAAAGGATCAGAAATGTGGAAAAATCTTTTAATCTGTTCAAATCATATTAAGGTCATATAGTCTGTTATTTTATGTTGAGGATATCTATCAGATTTCTTCCAATAATCTTGTATTGAAGGTAATTTAAATATTCCAGTATATATTACTATTCCTAACCATATTTTTATTTCGGGTAAATTTAAATCAATCCATGGTCTTCCAATTCCAGCACCTTTTTCTGATGCATATATATTTGTACTTCTTATAATAACATTCAGAATATCAACAGTAAAAAATAAAGAAAATAATACATAGGGAAAATTTTCAGACAAGGTTTGTATATCATCAGGCAAATTTGTGCTAGAATCATGTAATGGATGTTCATGTGGTGGAAGATTGATAATATTTTTGCTTCCCCTTCCTCTTCCCCTACCTCTACTTCTATTTCTATTATGGTCATCATTATTGGTATTGTATTCAATGTCATTGTTATCATTACATCATATTCATTTGTTTCATCAATTTCCATATTTTGATTTTCAGAATTAGTAGATGGACTAAGGTGTGTTGAATCAATTGTTTCATTTTCATTTTGTTCTTCATAAATAGTAAAAGGTTTTCTTTGAATATGACATATGGTGCATCTAGTCTAGTCCCGGCAACTTTTACATGAAATTTTTTAATTCTATCTAGTCTGTCAACAAATAAAATAAATCAAAAAGCTTTTCATAATCAGTTAGTTTGAAGCTTGAATTAACAAAAAATGAAGAGTTTTTTTTTAAAATCCCATTCTGTATGGAGCTATGAGCTTTTAAAAATCATCATTATTCTATGTTTGGTCTCAATTTGTCCACCATAAATCTTACCAAAATTGCTATATTTGGCTGGAATTAACTTGGATTCCATGTTATACTTGTCACGTGACAAAATATAAATTCAATTTTTTAACGCGTTTTTTTTTGCTTCAAAAAAATTGAAATCTTTTTTGAAATTTATCAATTAATCATGCCTAAACTTAAAAAGCAAAAAGCACATTTAAATAAACTTGCTTTAGACAAAAAAAATAATAGCTCATTTGGTAATGAAAATCAATTGGAAACTAATTTAGGACAGTTTTCACATGAAGAGTCTGAAGAAAGTTGGTTTGAAGGAGGAATAGATAGAGAATTAGACGAAAATTCTGTAAAATATATTGATATCCTTAATGAATCCATGAAAAATTACACTTCATCATCAAGATCTTTGCATTATATAGGTAATTCTTCCAGAACTTATCGCCAGAAACAAAGTGAGGCTAAGAAAAATGCTGAAAAAAATGGTCAATTAATAACTGCATTTTTTGAAAAAAGTGAAGCAGATGTTAGTAGTGGAAATGAAAGTTCTGAGGAACTCATTGAAAATAATGATAAAGAAATGACAGAAGTTGCAATTAGTGACTTAGAGAAGCAGCTTAAAAATAATGATTTTAGTAATGGATATAAATTACGACTTACAGCTGTGCTTCAATATTTAAAATTAATTAAATTAGGTAAAAAAAAGTTAGAATCAAGTATATCTATTGCAAATCAATTAGATAGAGGTAAATACTTTGCTTGCTGTATTTGAGAATGGGCACAAATTGTTAAAGAAGGAGATTCTATTCCATTTTCCAATCGTGGTTTGCATAGAAAAACATCAAGTTTACTAGATGATGAAGACATTAAATTAAGAATAATCGAATTTTTAAATGAAAAAAAATTTAAATTTAATATTAATGATTTTATTAATCACCTTTCATCTGTTATTTTTCCATGTGTTGGGGTTGAAAAAGAAAC